AAGAAGCTAAAAATGAAACATAACATTGTTTGTAATTTACGCATTTCTACCTGCAAGAACATGAAACCTTTAAAAATTAGTGAGACTAGAAGTTTCTTAGGAGGAATGACTATTGAGTAATATTTAGCCGGATATACTATCTCATAAATTAATCAAAATGCAGTAAATAGTTTTGATTTTTGATTCACAGATCCTAACTGGATTATATCAATCATAAAGTCTTCAGATTTAGTGAATGCGATGAGTCCAGTACATAGTTGTACAGTTATACTTTTCTGATGGAAACAAACATAGATGAAACCTATTTCTATATATCTCCTACTAACTTTTTTTATCCAGTAATATCTGTAAGTTAACATCACAGAACTGAACTGCCAGACAATATAAGAAATTTGAAACAATTGGTCCCTTTAATAAATTTCGATAATGCTATTAGAAGACGAAGATTATCTGAAAAATGTGATGTATTTGCGCAATACATTTCGAACAATCTGATCCCCTACACATTTACTTGTCAAGTCAATTTATATATGAAAATTAAAGGTCAAATATAATGAATATGAAAAGGTTGTGACACTAGTCTTGGTAATATAATCAGATAAGGATTACCAAGGTAAATTAAGTGTTGTTTTTGTACACACAGCAGGGGATTAAGTTTAGAAGGTATGTGGATGATATCCTTGTAATATGTGACACAGATGCGGATGCCAAGAGGTTATTAAAAAGGCTTAATACCGTACAAGATCATATCAGTCTGACATGTGAGGAAGAAAAAGACCATCAACTTGCATTTCTTGATATACTCTTGTGCCGGAGGGAAGATGGATCTATAAAACGATCAATATATAGGCAGTCTACTTGGACAGGACAGTATTTGAATTTCCATAGTTTTTGTCCGATGAAATATAACAGAGGCTTGGTAAGATGCTTGTTCAATAGAATCCAACGTATTTGAACATCTGATACGATGGATGATGAGAATAAGTTTCTGACAGACACTCTAGTGGAAAACGGTTATCCATTACAGTTTGTCAACCATTGTAAAAAACAGTTGATCCCAAAGCCTACAGTTTCCTCAGCCCCGAAGAAAAACATATTTCTTAAAGTACCTTACAGAGGGGAGACAAGTAGTATGATATTGAAGCAGAGATTAAAATCTGTTATCAGTAAAACATACTATGCAGCTCAGCTTATAATTGTTGAGACGACAAAACACCTGTTTCACCACAAACCTCAACCTCGCACAAATGATTACATCACATCCTACTGCGTTTACCAATTTACATGTATGTGTGGGCACACATACATCGGGAGGAGTAATCGTTCAATGCAGACTAGGGTGGATGAACACATCCCCAAATGGCTAGAAAAACAGTTTAACACACAAACTTTGATAAGTGCATGTGACAGACATCCATCGTCATCTATAGCAAAACATCTTCATTGAAATGAATCACAGGGTTAATATGAAAACAGCGTTTAAGATAATATACAGGAATAATCAGGGGCGCATACTGAAGTTTGCCGAAGCGTTAGCCATTCGTAAACTTAATCCCCTGCTGTGTGTACAAAAACAACACTTAATTTACCTTGGTAATCCTTATCTGATTATATTACCAAGACTAGTGTCACAACCTTTTCATATTCATTATATTTGACCTTTAATTTTCATATATAAATTGACTTGACAAGTAAATGTGTAGGGGATCAGATTGTTCGAAATGTATTGCGCAAATACATCACATTTTTCAGATAATCTTCGTCTTCTAATAGCGTTATCGAAATATAAGAAATGCTTTATAATGTTACAGGATACTTTGAAAATATCTACACTTCTTCAAATGTTTACCCAGAAAGCTACTGCTATATAAGATATAAAAACCGTTTCATAACATATACTCAGGTCATCTATGAACATTCAATGTCCAATGGTAAAATTATCAAACACTGACTTAATTTAATTGCGGACTGTATTAAAAACTTAGTAGCTTCTTTTGAGGTAGGTTCACCCTTTTTAAACAGATATATTGCTGTTTAATCTTGTGGTGTAATAGATGAGGTGAAGACTGTCTGATAGATTTCAGTGTAGTGGTTACATTCAAGATGTGGAACACTTCCAATCTACTCATTTCAAACAAATTTGTTGAGATGTAGTAAACAAAGGATCAATAATAGCATAGTAATATGATTTAGGTAGTTCGACCACTGTTAGAAATTTAACACTGGGTAAAAAAATTTCAAGTTTTTATTCACCGTAGACTGACATGAGTTAGAGGAACATTGGAAACCTGGGAGAACTGGACAGCTTTTTCGTCTTAGTATGGGACTCCCCAGCAATGCGCACCCACGACCCCTCCCTCCAGGGATCGGACCCGCAACCTTCAGGTCCCGTGACCAGCACGTTACCATTGAGCCATTGAATCAGAATCCAGTGGTCCATATTTCCAACTTCTGTTAGCTCACGACATTGCGCAACCACCACCCAATGTCATCGTTGAGTAACTGTCCTCCCCACCATCAGGCTTTGCTCCCACCAGTCACGACTTCTCATTGGAACTTCGGGAATCACCTCTCTAAGCTAGTCACCAATGAGTACCAGTTCAATTGAATTTTGAGGGAGTTGTGGAGATTTGGAAATATTTCAAGTTGTTATTCAACGTAGACTGATGTCAGTTGGAGGAACAAAGGAAATCTGGGAGCGCTGGACAGCTGTTTCCTCCTAGTACGGGACTCTTTGTGTCATAAAATTCTGCTTAAAAATTGGGCTAATCAATTTTTTGTTGACTTCACACATAGTGGAATTTGAAAGTAAGCCATTGTGATAGGATTGTGACCCACCTTCTCATACTACTTGACTACCACTTTACTGATAAGGCAATAAAATCTAAATGCTAGGTGAATTTTAATTTGTTCAAATCATTTATTCAGAAAGTGTGTGTGTTGAAAGGAATACCACGAGGCTAAATAAATTACTGAACCAGCATCAACAGAAATGTAATCCACTATAAAATTTATTTGTTACTTAACGTTCAAATTCTTAGCTGAACATCGCAATACAAAAATTCAGTGATCTATTTTCTTATAACTTTGACATAAGTCGAAGTTGTAGAGCCATATGCAATCCATAAAAATTATCATCTCTACAGGCTTTTGTAGTAGAATATACATAAAACAACGTCTGTTCAAGTATTCACCTACCAATGATAAGCTTTAAGTGATATTAATTGGGTAGTCAGATCCATATAACTTGAGTAAGGCTTATAAATTTCACTCAGTAATTGTAGCCAATGGGTGCATATATATACATATATATAATTTAGGCACCACGTAATACAAGTGTCACTCTACCAAAAAGACAAGCATAAAAGAATTGAACGCCAATAACTGCAACAGGTTTTTCAGTCAATCAAACGATTATAATTTGTGTCAACACGTTTCATCCGCTTACAATTTTATCTATTTTTTAAATGAGATTTTCAGGAAGGATTATAATTAACTGGCTTTCACTGTTTCTCTGCTTGAATTAACACATAATACAAGCATAAATCCTTACTTTTGGTGACTTGCTTGAACCTTGGTCTGCCAAAATCTTCTATCAAATATAAACATCATATTACTTTTTTTGGATTTAAATATGTCCAGTGAATGTAGTATGTACTCTTGCACGTTTATAAAATGCTTTAAGCTAGCTGTTTCTCTAGTTAATAACAAAATGAAGAATAGAATGTCTATTAAGATGGAAACCGACTTTTCAGTGAATCAAAAATGTGTCATATTTCCATCTTTCGGATACCTAGCTTGAATTGAAGCCCCCTGTACTGGCTGAATGGACCTCCTACACCAAACTTGTACTCGTTTTTCTGTTCATTCTTCTTTCTAGACCGGACGTTAATCCTAAAGCAGTTGTCTGTTCCACAGTATTGCTTTGGACTATTATTAACATCATTCAGATACAATAATCCCTTCGTTTGAATATATTGTCAATGTGAGTGAATTTCCTGGAAAGTTACATACTGGGAACTCCATACTGCATTATATATATTGCTCATTATTAACTTTTGCTATGATCATTTACTAATGTTACCCATAATATGTAATACGAATCAAAATTAAAGGCATGGTTGCCACTGCATTCTTGAAGTCAACGTTTCACTAAATATATAGCATTAAGTTACTGGTTATGTAAGTCCCCAGAGAACCCATACTGGATCTAAGATGGACGATGCAAGATGGTCAACCTTTGACACATATCTAACATGTGTGATTTACCACTACTAATTCCATATATCTGGTAACAATCAATGTTTCTTTGGGTGTAGCCTCCTATATGTGATAACCTTTGTATTGTGTTGGACCGGATATAAAATGAGTCGATTGCATGCAAAAACCTTATCACCATCATTCTATGCAGAAAAGTTTCCGTATATTAATTTATCTCAAATAATCCTGACAAAAGGTAGGTTACTACCTAACAAGCATAACTCTGACAGAGATTCACACTTGGTACCAACAGATTATACCAGTCAGTCTGTCCGAAATACATACTTCATAGGCACAAACTTACAGCCTATTGCATCGTTTAATCGTCAATTACAAGACAATGATAATTATTTGCATTTTCTGACACTTGTCTTGATTGTATAATAAATATAAGTATGTATGATGTTAGTCTAAAAGCAGTTTAAATGCTTGAAATTGATGTAGCTGAAATCAGAGTTAATTTCTATGGATAAAAAATTCATATGCCTAGCCTAGATAAATGGAACAGTTTCGTGTTTTACGATATCTTCATGACTTTCACTGAAGTAACGAATATTATAATATTCATTCAATGTGCAAATATTTGGATCACATTCTAGACACTTCTGTTATTTCATGAAAGTTTACTATCTAAAAAAGAGGTCAAATACTTAAACGAAGAAATATAATATGCTTAGGAATTAACTATACAAAATAGTTGTTAATTAAGAAAATACTGAGGATAAAGTAGTATAAATTACCTTGAATTCGTACAGTCCCCATAAAGTACATCGAATTCTTGTGGTGCAATCAGTTTACATCGATTAACACCTGGTTGTATTGCACCTAAACCTCTTAGTATGCGTACTTGTTCAACATTACATACAACTGGAATAATTTCTAAACGTTTCAATTTTGTATAAACTGTATGTAATCCACCAACTAAATGTTTTAAAAATAATTCAAATGCTTGTGGTAAACAAATTAAATCTCTTCCATTCACAGTAAATGCTGCTAAATGAGCTCCACGATATTCTAAAAAGTGTACTTGATTATTCTCTGGTAAATTTGGTACTGGATTAGGTGTACAATAGGCTAAAGATTTCGTTGAAAGTTGACTTCCATTTCCTTCATTACTGTTATTAGTATTATCATTGATATATGGCAGTTTTAATGCAATAAAATTATCAAAATTCCATGAATCATTTGATACAATTTTTCGTGATAAATCCATTATATCTGAAGATTGTTCATCTTCATTATCTAAGGGATTACTGAAATGAATAGATTTGTTTAACATTTTATTTTCTTATATATTTATCTTCAATATTAATGAAGTGAACTGTAATGATGAAGACAAGAATGTGCAAAAACCACTAATATACTGGTGCTATAAAGGTGAATCTGTTACCAGAAATAGATAAATAAATAAACTTTATGCTGATGTTATATTTTCTGAACAAATGGTATAAAAATTGTAAGTAAAGAAGCGAAATTCGATATTTATATGAGTAGACAATTACCTAATGGGAATGATATTATTTAGAATAGTAGTAGTAGTAATCAGAGTGAATATAAGTTAACTCGTTCTATTCACATCTCATCTCCCTTCTTAAAAATATTAAGGAATTATGTGTCTGTACATATTTTTGTACAAGTGAGTTATATTGTACTATAGGCTAACTAACAACTTATCAATAGGTAACATAGACAATAGTAGAAATATCATAAAATTCAACAAACAAACGTAGTTAGTTTTAGATTTGTCTATTTTTACATTTTTTTTCCCCTCTTTTAATACCTACACAACAACAAGAATATTCACTGCAAATTGAAATGAAACTGACTAATAGCAGTCTTAAATAAAATTGTTCCCAGCAAAGTAAAATAAACAGATAAACTGATTCTTTGTACCAATATATCATCCATTTAGAAATATCTTCTTTCTTATGGATAGAGAATAAAAAAGGAACGAGTTTTGATTGTATACAAGCATACATGAGTATAACTTGCGCATTCATATATATATATATATATATATATATATATATATATATATATATATATATATATAACGCTAATGTCTAACTTTAATACTCAGTATGTATTGAAAAATGAAATATGAAAGGAAGAAGTATTTATTCTTGAGTTTTATTTTCTTTGATTCTTTATACATTTATCCGTTTGTTTGTTTGTTTGAATCATCCAATCAGTTGATTATCAGGGGTAGGAAAAAAGAAAAATCAGTCTCTCCTTATCCCTACGCCATATCATACACTTTCAAGATGTCTTGATGTGTGTCACTGTTCTCCTTTCTTAATTTATTTTCATCACAGAGTGACATCAATTGGAGAACCATCGAAAACTTGGGAGCACTTGATAACTGTTTCCTTCTAGTGTGGGACTCTTCAACAGTTTTTGTATGAAACGTCAATTAGAAACACTGAGAAAGGAAACCTCCTATAAATTAGAAATACTTCTTTCTTCCATTACTTTTCTGAGATAAAGTGTTCAATACAGTAAACATCTTATCATCGGTAAACTCTTCTTGAAAAACAAGTTAAGATTTTGCTATACCAAAACAATGAGAAGTATTCGATTATAGAAACCGAAGGCGCCGTGAAGACACTTCGTCACCTTGTTATATAGTAGTCCCTTGTTCCTGATATCATACAATATCTTTCTTTAGTCTTTTAGATGATGATTATTAGAAATTCTGCTCCTATCGGTCAACAACAGGAATATAAACTTAAAATTCAGAAAAATCATGTCACGAAACCGTTTACTTAATCCAAAGTTAGCACAAAACCTCACTTAACCCATTAAAAATTCAATACCTACTTATTACTTACTTTAGGAGTTGACTGAACAAAAATAAGATTGAAAGTCAATGCCAGTTAAAATGCGATACATTTTAATAATAAAACTTTGCAATATCATCAACCAGTCACTACAAAAAAAAATGATTTGCGGCAAAATTCTCAATAAAACACCTTTGAATTATCTATTTCAGTTAAGAAATAAGCAAAACAAAGAACAGAACTAACTGTGTGGATTGGTGATTGGGTAGTAACCAACTTCATGTTGCCAAGCGTTAAATGCTGATCGAACTCTGTCCAATATTTCGTACCGTAGTCAGTATCACGGTGCTGTTTGACTGATTTTAGTTGGTTGGAGGCAATCAACAAAATGCCCTGTTCCCAGACTTTCAGTAGTCATGAGATTCAGGTAGAATGATTGATCCCGACGTCTAAAAGGAGTCTTGTCAATTTAATCTAACCATATACTTCCTAACCTCGCTTGCTTAACTAGTTCACTAGTTACTAGCCGGTCCTAAGCCCGGATAAAGAGTGAAGGTTGGGCATAGGGCTAGCAACCCTACCCCGTAAAACCAATCCTATCGCTAAAGAAACTTTAAAACGCAAACAAAATATAAAAAATAAAAACAAACTTATTCCTCGCTGGAATCGGAGAGGCGAAATGACGCCAGTTGGTGAAAGCCTTCGGGAAGCCAGTCAGCTGATGTGTGTTCTCTCAATGAAAGCGAAAGTAAACAAGGGGACATGAAGTGTCCACACTATGTTTGAAACTAGTAAGGCTGCTCAGATTGCAAAGGAGATGAGAAGGTATGGGATGGAAGTGCTAGGAATTTGCGAAAGCAGGTGGGATGGAAGTGGACTCTCCAGTTGACAGTCTGGAGAGTCAATAATCTACTACGGTCATCCAGACGACAACCACGAGCACACTGAGTTTTGGAGTGGCTATCATAATGTCCCCAACAGCATCAAACTCTCTCATACAGTGGGAACCAATCTCCTCCAGGATCATGACAGAAAGATCCAACTCATAAGAAGGAAGGTCATAATCATACAATGCTATGCTATGCTACGCACCTACAAATAATGCAGATCAGGAGAAGGAGGAGAAACTCTACAGATAACTGCAATCAACACTGGACAAGACCCCACACCAGTTGGCGACATCAAAATTCATTCTAATGGGTGGGGTGACATGAATGCCAAACTGGGAGCAGACAACACAGGACGAGAACTAACCATGGGTCGAGAAGCACTCGGTGAAATGAACGAGAATGGAGAATTGTTTGCAGAATTCTGTGCATTTAGCGATTTGGTGATTGGAGGCACTGTATTCAAGCACAAGGATATCCACGAAGTGACATGGATTTCACCAGACACCAGGACACACTACACTAAATATAAGGTCGACTTCATCTCAATGTGAAGAAAGTGGAGAAGCAGCCTACTTGACACAAGGTCAAGAAGAGGAGCCGATGTAGGTTCACACCACTACCTAGTGCAAGGAACCTTCCAACTCAAGTTGAAAGCCTTCAAGGAAGTTGGTGATAGACCACAGTTCAAGTACAACACCCGGAAGAGGAACTAAAAGACGGAACTACAAAGAAAATCTTCCTGTCAGCCATCAAGAAAAAATAAGAGATATCGAGCAACATCCCTGAAGAAACCTGTGTGGATGAGCACTGGAACTCTTTGAAAGAGGTGGTAAGAAACCTTCATAAGCGTATTAGGAAGGAAGAGGAAAGAAGATAAGGAATGGACCTCGATGGACACATGGAACCTAATAGAGCAGGGACAGGAAGATGGTCAAGCAGAAGATAAACCAGTGAAAGGATGCACAACGAAAAGAGGAACTGAGTACAAGGTATAAAACACTGGCCAGAGAAATGAAGAAGAGTTCATGGAGATGCAAAAGACAATTCCAAAACACACTGGCAAGTGAAGCAGAACAGGTTGCAGGTAGGAGAGACATGACAACATTATATCAAATAATCAGGTTACTATCTGTTATGGAAGAGATCAACACAGATGAAACCAATAAAAGATGATGAAGGAAATATAATTACCAAAGAAGAGAAACAAAGGGAACAACCGGTTGACTACCTCAAAAAGTTCTTGAATTGACCATCACCTGCACTTCGTCCAGAAATACCACCTGCAGCCCAGTCACAGAACTACAAGCGAACACAAGCTCTCCCACGAAAGTCGAAGTCCTGAGCGCCATAAAGCTACTTAAATGTGGGAAGGCAGGAGGAACAGATGGAATCCCCCCCCCCCAAATCACTGAGAGCAGACTCAGGGACAACAACGGACAAGCTCCTACCACTATCGCAGAAGGTTTGGAAGGAAGGCAAGGCACCTGTCTATTAATTGAAAGGATGGCTACCTTGTCAAACTTCCAAAGAATGGCGACCTAAGTGTTTGCAAGAACTGGTGCGGAATCATGCTGCTGTCCACCCAATGCAATCAAAATATTAAGCCGCATCATCCTGGAGAGACTAAAGGATGCCCTGGATTCAAAACTACAACCCGAACAGGTTAGCTGGATTCAGGAAGTACAAATCATGTGCGGACCAAATTGCAACACTTCACACCATCATGGAACAGAGTATAGAATGGCAGTCAACCCTCTACCTCAGTTTCATCCACTTTGAAAAGGCCTTCGACAGCGTCGACCGACAAGTAATTTGGAAAATGCTTCGACAACACGGAATGCCATAAACCTTCATCAATCTCGTTCAACAACTATATGAAGACGGCACATGCCAAGTAATTCACAATGGGAAACTCAGTAATGCCTTTGAAGTGAAGACAGGAGATAGGAGTAAGACAAGGCTGTCTACTATCACCCATGATATTCCTGATTGTAGTGGACTGGACTGGATCGTGCAACAAACAGTGAAAACAGAGAAGAGGAGGATACGCTGGCTGGACAGCAGAAAACAACCTAGAAGATTTGGATTTCGCCGATAATCACTTATGTCTAATGTCAAACAGACTTGAAGATCTACAGGCGAAAACTAACAAGTTGACAGAAGAGGCAGAACAGGGCAGGACAAGGCAGTGAAGACAGGACTTCAAGTTAATATAGAGAAGACAAAGGTGATGAAGATACACAATCAACACCAACACCATCACCACCACCAACAACAACAATTACAACAAGCTGCAATCAACATCAACGGGAGAAACTTGAAGGAAGTAACCTCCTTCACCTATCTAGACAACACTGTCTCAACTACAGGCAACACACGCACAGATGAAGACGCCACGGCCAGTCAGCCAGCCAGCCAGGATCGGAAAGACACCAAGACAGGCAGGCATTCACCAACCTGAAACCAGTGTGGAGATCTGCAGCACTCAGCATGTGGAATAACATGCCGATTTTCAACACCGACGTCAGTCAAATCAGTGCCTCCGTGTGATGGTTGAGAGACTTGGCGTGTTACGAAAGGGATTTCCAACAAACTACAGATATTCATCAACGTGGAGATGAATTTGATTGGACATACAGTGAGAAGGCCGACTGGGGACATCACGCACCAGGCGAGATGCTTGAGTGGAACTCAGATGGGAAGCTACGAGTTGGGTATCCGTGATGAGGGTGACATGGAGGAGATGGTTTGAGGAATAAATGAGAGCTTGTGGGCTGTGGTGGAGCCAGGTTCCAAAGTTTGCAGAGAAG